CGAGGACTCGTGAGTACTGATTAGCAGTAGTTTAACATGAAAGTGAATTAGTGAGCGATACTGTATTGAGCTCATCGATTAGCAATTAGTTCTTACTACCCGTTACACCGTGTTGTTCCCTATTTTGCTGATAGTAAGGATGAAACCGGGATTAGAAATACTGAGCACGCGCGTTGTAATCCCACGAACCGGGGGTTCGCTTTCAAATCACATGCATTGATCGGCACTCACATGCACTGATCGGCACTCACATGCACTGATCGGCACCCCCATGCATTGGTCGCATCATACACCATCTTCATTACATTATATATTTAGACGTCGCATTGTTCTGTCTTTGCGCTTAAGATATTTGTCTTCATTGCAGTATATTCCGATTAGAACGGATCCCACGAAGGGTATGCATGAAAACCCATCACTCCCACAAAAGGTATGCAAGAAAACCGATGTTACTACTAGCACCACAGGAAACTACGACAAAAATTTGGAACAACACGGTGAAACGCGTAGTAAGAAAGAACTACTAATTGCTAATCGTTTAGCTCATTATTTTCCTTTTTGCTCCTGTTTGCTGTATGTTGAATCGTAACCGTGTAATGATCGTGTAATCGTGTAATCGTTAATCATTGCTAACAAGAAGATCCAAATTATTTATTTCACCATGGGATTCAGTGGATTCAGTGCGTGGGCGCTTGTTACTGGTGAGCGCCAACGCCACTGTGGAAGCCATTGTGRAGGCCATCGAGGAGGCGATTGTTTGAGCCATGGTAAGCCAACGTTCTTCTCTCGCGTCTTCGCGTTTCGCTCTTTCAGCTTCGCGTTTCGCTTCCCTCTCATCAGCCTTCTTGTCTCTTTCAGCTTCCMTCTTGTCTCTGTCAGCATCCCTCTTATCCTGTTGCATGAGGTAACCCTTAAGAACAGCATCCTGTTCAGCAATTTCCTTCTTCAGTCTCCCATAAGATCTCTTTCTTGGTGTTGCTGTGACGACAATGGGAGGTGTCGAGTCGGAAGTCGATGCTGTTTTGCTCGATTTGCTTGCTTTTGGAGTCAAAGCATACTGCAATACCTCCTCATCCAAGTCCTCATCATCCTCATCATCGATGTAACCTTTGACTGGATCAAAGGTCTCCTCTCCATTTCCAATGTTTGCCTTGATCCCAATCAAGCGATGGGCCTCTCTTGCAAGCCGGACTGACTCGGGAATGTTGGGATTCCCAGTAGGCATCTTCATTCTCCTCAATCGATTGAACTTGGTCTTAATGGAATCCTTAGACCTACCATAGGGCCAGTCTTGTCCATGTCTGTGAACCACCATGTCCCAATCACTCTTACCAATGGGAAGGATCTGCTTGATGAGAGTCATCAASGAGATAAGCTCATCTTCCGTGTAGTTTGCAGTACCGCCCTTACGGCCAACAGTCTTCTTCTTTGTTGATTGATCCCCTCCTGGGGGGGGAACTGGTGCTGGTGGAGGCAACCGGTCCCCATTGCAAGGAGGAATGGTTGCATAAGGACCAGTACGAGTCGACATCTTTCTTCCTCCTCCTCGCGCTGGAATGAATATTGTGTGAGGGATCTTCCCCCCTCGCGTTGCTTGATACACAGCCTCCAGCAGTTGAGCCTCTCTTTGTTTCAATCTAACGTAAAGCGTAGCGAATAAGACAGGGGACATGATGATGGTTAATGCTGTCGTTCTCTTTGGTGTTATGACAGAAAAATACTGGCGCCGGCGCCTTCTAATTTTTTAGTAAATTCTTTCAGTCTTAAATTTGGCCGTCATTTCAGTTGAGTCCTACAACGGAATTTGATTCTTGGATTCCGGTCTAGATTTAGAAATCTAGCAGGCCGGGGAGGGGGGGCCTTCAAAATTTGGACTAGAAAGTCTAAATTTGGTCTGTCTGTCTATCAAAATTTAGACTTTCTAGACTATCGGGAATGACCCAATAAGAGAGGTTCAACTCACTCGAACAGCTGTAACTTTTCGCCCAACGGACGCTTAAGTATGATAAGCACATGGTTGAAAAGAGAATTCAACGAGCTTTCTAATGACGTGGGGGAGTACGTCGTACGTTGAATATTGATCGATATACATGTACGTATATCCGTATTCAAAAATGTCCGATAATTTCGGCCGGAAACACGTGGCCCACGCTATACGATAATGATCTTCATAGTGGTAGTGGGGTATGTTACCATAAGGGCAGCAACAGAAGTGAAAAACTACCTCATGAGGAGGTGCTTGATCCACTGGATGACTTCATTGAATAGGAGGATTGATCCACTGGATGACTTTGTACTACAAGACAAGTTTAACATTGGTTCTTCCAAAAAAGCTGTGATCAACCAATTTAGGAGTCAGACAGCATGGAGGACACTGATACAGAGGAACATCATGTTTCTCTGTATCACCATCATGGTGATACAGGGTGATACAGAGGCGTAATGGGCTGATGCAGAGGAGGAGGTTGATACAGAGGAGTATACTGACACAGAGTATGCTGATATGGAGTATGTTGGTACAGAGGACAATGATACAGAGTACACTGATGTGGAGTACACTGATATAGTGCACTGATATGGAGTGCACTAATACCAAGTACACTGACATGGAGTACACTACTACAGTGTACACTGATACAGAGTACACTGATACAGAGTATGCTCATGTGGAGATGCTGGTACTAGTAGTAGGGAAGAACTACTGATATGGAGGATGGTGATACAAGAGGTTGGTGATATGAGCTAGTGATCTGTTCTCATTCCTTTCTATGCCAGTAAATAATGACATTTTATGTCTGAAAAAATCAGGCAAGTCAATGAAAATTGGTTCAGTTTCTGAACAAATCCTGKTGTGGCCCTCAGCCACTCTCCATGCCAGAATTTTTTCAGAAATTGTTGAATGACAATTTTTTAAGGCTTTTGTTGCTTTGACACTCAATATTACTGGTTTTACCTGAAAAAATAAGCTAAAAATTTCTTCTAGTATTTGTATGGGACTTGTACTTACTAGTAGCTCTCATAGTGGTAGTAACTTTGAGTGTTGGCAGCCTAAATGACAGTTCCTGTTGCATTTCATACAGTACAAATTGATGCAGTACTACCAGTAAATTGGCAATAGCATGCATAAACTGTAAAAGAACTACCACACCGGGCCATATATGGGAAAAAGTAATTCTACTCTGACAAAGAAATATCACCAGCAGTAAAATCACACTGGATCCTAGTATGTACTAGTTTTCAGCCACTTTTTTACTGCAAACAGTGTAATAGGACATTCAGAACTGATCCAGTATGGCCTGAGAGCAGCTGTTCATTGTGGGAAAGCTTCCTTATAGTGTTAGGAACATTGCCCTGTATCAAAGGTACACCATCATAGGCCTGGGGTGAGCTGCTGGCAGCCCGTTAACAGCCAGCAGAGTTGCTGAATTTTGCTGTTATCAGAGACTGGCTGCTGTGTTACAAAATACTAGCCCAGAACTTTATCAAAAAACAACTCTAGACACCAGACTAAGCACCCACTCCAACAAGCTGAAACAATTATCCAAAGGTTGATGTTGCAGGTGCCATTGAGAAGTCATGGATGCTCTAGAGGCTTGGAACTACTACTACTACTAGTCTTTCAAAGTCATACTACTACTACTACTACTACTACTACTACTACTACTACTACTACTAGTGTATGGCCAAATTTTGGGTTTATTCTAGGTTTAATTTTATTGCCAACAATCAACTCGTACATTACTACCAGCAGTAATAAATTTACATCTAGAATTMAAGCTGATTTTTGGCTACCCACTACTGTATTTTAGGCTGACTAGTTCTAAGCAGCTAGTAGTTCATCCCCCTTTGGTGCCTTCCCAATGACCTGGATCTCTAAGTAATTGTATCAACTTGGTCTGGGTGCTTAGTCTGCTGGTGGTGCCTGGTGGTCTAAAGTCGTTGTTTTCTTCTTTTTTAAAACAAGTTCTGGCCTATTTTCTAACCAGCAGCTGGTCTCAAAACTGGCCAATTTTGGCCATACCAGCTGCTAATGGAGAACAGTCTCACCCCAGGAGGCCTACAATTGTGTAACAATGACACAGGACGAGGGCGCTGTTCCCACCAAGAACATTAGTATCACCAGTACTACTACTAGTACTAGTAGGAAGCTTCTACTGTTCCCCAAAGAACAGCTGTTCTCACCAGACCAGCATACTGGAGCAGTTCCAAACGTCCTATTACACTGTTTGCAGTCAAAAAGTGACAAAAAACTAGTAGATCTATGTAGGATCAGGACTAAATACTGGGCTTCAAAATTAACCGCAATTTTACTACTACTACTACTACTACTACTACTACTACTACTACTACTACTACTACTACTACTACTACTACTACTACTACTACTACTACTACTACTAC